ATGGTTTTTGTTCTTTGGTGTCTGCTGCCTGTTCCCTTCAACACCTCGTGTTTGCACAGGCTTGTGTGCTTCTTCTCTGTGGACTTTGTTGTTTCCAAGCTAGATGGCCGCTTGTTTGCCTACAGGCTTTTAAGACCCCAGACGCTATATCTTTTGATAGCCGGGCATCATCGGCATTCTTCACCACATTTTCTTATGCACACATCTGTCTTCAGCGATCATGTCGGGAAGGTAGATATCATGAAATGACCGTTCAGCTGAGCAAGGGGAGGAAGCATTTAAGAACTAGAGGAAGGTTGTGGGTTTAATTATTGCTATACTGAACCCTAAGTGACTCATCTCCCCACTACCCCTCTGCAAAGTATGTCCAGTTGTCTAGAGATGGGCATTGGGCCCCTATCAAGCGCCACCCTCATTGTTTACCTATCACCTCTTGGAAGTCATTGCTTTGATTGTAATTTATCTTCAGGATCATATCAGTGAGGCCATGTTCTATCACCTATTACAGTTCGTCCAAGAAATACTTCAAAATCTTAATCCCACTTTTAAAAATTTCCCCTGAAACATCTATTCTTATTGGTTGCAGTGGTTTTGACACCCATCAACAAGAAAGTTGGCTCATCTTTAATTTTTCAGGCAGATTTGTATAAGCTGAACCAATTGAGATGTCTCTGATGTTGGCGATTGCTTCTGCTGTTAGTGACTGGTCCTCTTTAATTAGGGTATGGGCAAGATTAATTATTTCCTCGCAAGTTGTTTTGAATGGTCTGCCATTGCAGGCTTTTAAGCTTCAACATCCCCTTGACTCTTCTTAAAACAGTTTGTATACTGCTGATAATACCTCTAGGGCATTGTCTCCATAAACTTTCAAGACTGATTATTTTTTCTTGCTTCAAGTTTAGAAATTTATGTTACTCTGATAGGGGCTATTTTCAAACTGATATCTTTCTTAGTGCCTCAAATTAGATCCTGCTCAAATATATAACAAATTAACATGAGTTTATATTGGTGTAAAAAAATTTTAAGTCCATGATTTTTTTTGATAATTCAAATTTTTCCTGAGCTTTGTGAAGACTACATTTATTTGGCATTTTCCCTGGCCTAAAAAGGCATATAATCTGATTTTGAAACCAATCGAATAGCTAAATTAACTTGTTTGGAAATACCTCACGAGTTAAGGGTAGAATTCATATTTTCTTAGAAAAAGAATGTGTCTTGGAGGAGATGAAACTGAAATTAGTCCCTGAGGATGAATAAACTTTAAATATATAATATATGAAAAAGGAGAGTATTGCAATCATATTAGTAAATAGTATAGCTAGTTTTACTACAAGAGTAAATCAGGGTGAAAGTAAAAAAAAATAAGGCTAAACGTATGTGTATATAATTCTCTGGATGATAGGGAACTAAGATACTTAATAAGACAGTGAGTAAAGAATATAATATTTTAGGAACATACATATTTATATAATAAATGTATTATATAAATGGATTGTAAATAAGAAGAAACTAGAAGCAGGACACCAACCAGTGCTTCTTATAAGAAAATTGTACAATTACAGAATTTTAAAAAATAAATCTTACTTTAAATCATTTGGAAAGAGTGATTGACCATAGTAGTGGAATTAATTCCATAGATCAAGCTGAGGGGAAGGTGAAAGATAAGATACCTCAAAAATATATTGAAGTGTGATGGGGATGGTTCAAGAACTAAATAAAATGTTAGCTATTTGACTCCACCTGGTGTTGCATCTGAATGAAGGTGTGGCAACCTGACTTTAAAAAAAAATCAGCCATTGAAAACTCTCTGTAGCACAGTTCTGATCTGATAGAGCTGGAATCTCAATGAATTGGAATTGATGGTATCTGGTTTAACTGGTAAATTTTATGAACTGTGGAAGATCAAACGATTGGTAAATTAAGAGAAAAGAGCTGGGAAGTATAGCTAGTTTGAGAAGTCGAAAAAGAACTAATATACTTATGTGGTTATAAATTAGGAGGGCCAGTGAATTGAGAGTCAGAATAATTTAGAGGCCGCTTTAAAAATGTTCATTCCTCCTATTCTGGTACTCAACCTTCAATTTCTCTGGGGAAAGTTGTGATTGTAAAACGTTATCCTTTTTTCTCCCCTCTCCTTGCTACTGATCCTCAAGCCCTCAGTTCCCAAAGGAGATCCATTACTATAAGCGTTTGGGAGGAGAGAATAAGGGGACTGAAGCTTAAGAGAAATTGATTCCAATAGACTATATTTCCCTTCTTTTCCTTTCTGTGACTGCCATCCCAATCCCTTCTTCCATTGACACCACTACTGTCAATATCAGAGACAAAACTGGAGCTTGAGAGAGATTTTTGTTACGAGAGCAGACTTGGGCATCTTCAAGCTATAGGATAAATTTGAATGGATAAGTTCAGATAAATTAGCATAGAACTGAGGCCCAAAACTTTATTAAATGTTAAGTTTGAATTTTAAACATTTGGTATATGAATTAAATTTCTCTTTAATTATGTATAAAGATCATACATTTTATGACCTATTATTATTTCTTTATCCCAATAAAACAAAAACCAAACCAAAGCCATTGCCATCAACTTGGCTTATAGTGACTCTCTATAGGACTTCTGAGACTAAGTCTATATAGGACTTCTGAGACTAGAGCAGACAATCTTTTCCCATGGTGGGTTTGAACCACCAACCTGAGGTTGGCAGCCCAATTTCTAAAATTTAAGGGACCGAATCTTGTTTTTGAAAACAATGAAGGTTGAATGTATCACTGAAGATATAGGTTCAATAAATGACAATGGAGATGGACATATCTGATCTTCTCTGGCTTCCCTATTGCCACAAGGAAGGAATTAGACAAGCCTCCATGGCCCATTCTTTCTTACCTATTCTCACACCAAGTGTTCCTCCCACGCCATTGTACATCTATGCTGGGTTCAATAATCTGTTGCTGTTACCACACAGAACTCAAATACAAAGTAGAGGAAGACATCAGTAAAAAGACATCAGAAAATATTAGAAGCCGAAACAATTTAAATGGGTCAAAAAGGAGATCAGTGTTAAGATGTTACTTTTTAACGTGACTAAATCTGTCATTTTATTACTTAGATCACACATGCTGTATTCTTCCATGTAGTCTTACTCGAAGCCTCATTTAGATGGCTGCTTGTTTGAGGACCAGCCTTTAAGTCCCAAGTCCCAAGATTAAGTCCCTTTAATCTTTCTGATAGCCGGGCTTCATCTGCTTTCTTCACCACACTTTGCTATAGCACCCATATCTTCTATAATCTCTTCATAAGGGCAAGTATGGAGTAGGGCCATCTCATAGGAACTAATTGTTCTTAGATTGATACTTGAATTAAGTGTAAGCCCAAAATCCATTCATATATCTATGGTTTATGTATATGCCTTGTATACTTTAGAGACATCATTATCATATTTTATGACAGAACATTATCAGTCATCCCCTTGGAGCATAAGTTAATCCTATTGATAAAAGAAATCACTGAGTCCATGCTGACTCATAGCAACCCTACAGGACAGTGTAGGACTGCATCTGTAGGTTTCTAAGACTGTAATTCTTTATAAGAGTAGGAAGCCTCCTCTTTCTTCCTCAGAGTTGCTGGTGTTTTGAACTGTTGACTGCACAGTTATGCAAACAGGGTTCCTCAATTCTGTTGATAGTGTCATTAATTTAGCCAGTGGTGTAGAATTTAAAACACTGTTGTAAAAATGAAATTAAGTATGTCTAGGACGACTTTTCAGACAGAAATATCTGAATTGCTGATGAGTGCTGATTGTACTGATTGTTGCCTAGTACTGATAAAGTCTTAAGTGGCTGGACACTATTTACATAAACCTTGGGCATTGATGATAGGGAAAAACTTTCAATAGCACTCATTCACAAAGGCAGATTCATGTCTAACAGACTAATATACGTCATAAGCAAGGAGATCATTAAAATAATAAATAAGTGATCACAGGCCACCATTGGTCTCAGGCTACCATCCAGAACAAATATATGATCACAGGGTATACCCTCAAAGCAAAGTCCAATTACCTACCAATTA